ATAAAAAATGATTATTTGAGACGGAGAATTATGGTCACTAAATATCAGTCGTTAATTCGGTGGCTAATTTTATTTTGTGACCGATTTAGTGATTTTTAAAACTTTACTAACAAGATGTTAAATTTTGGTGGCTATTTCGGTCACTACATAAACCAAAAATTTTCAGTCACTAATTCAGTCACTAAAAGAGAATTTTCTAGTATTGCCTGCAAGATTAACACTCTAAGGTCTAAGTCACTTACCGAGTGAAAAATAGTGTGAGATTAAATTATGATTTTAACATATATCACGTCTTGCATGTGATCAGTAGTTATATATGAAAAGCAGTTAGATATTCTCTTGTTTTTCATAGTGGTATAGGAAATCGTTAGATGACATCTAACTACAAAGGAAAATATTTGGTGTGAATAAGTACATGCATGAAGATTGTGTGCATTGTTCCTATAACACCTTATAACATTAGATTTTAGATTGTTGATTAAATCTTTTCGTTATTGAGTCTTAGGCTGACCAAAACTGCTTATAATTTATTTATATTTTTCAAAGGGAGTTGACATGTGGACTTGCCTTGTTACTTCCATTATAGCATCATCTGTTGCATCAATTTGAAAGCTATCATGTGTATCTTTGGAGTACTTCATTGCTTCGAATATATTAAAGGGAACTTCCTCATCTTGAACTCTCACTTTCATAAGACCATCATCGATATCAATCATCATTCTAGCCGTCTTCATAAAAGGCCCCCCAAGAATCAATGGAGCATCAAGGTCTTCCTCCATGTCAATAACAACAAATTCGATTGGAAATAAGAATTTATCCACCTTGACTAACACATCTTGAGCTACTCCATGAGGATGAGTTGTAGACTTATCGGCCAATTGCAATGTCATTCTTGTTGCTTTCATCTCAATGCTTCCCAACCTCTTAACAATAGATAACGAAATCAAATTGATGCTTGAGCCTAAGTTAATCAAACATTTACCAACATAAACATCGCCTATGGTAACCGGAAAAGTAACCCGACCCTGATCACTTTCCTTGATCGGTAGAGTCCTTTAGATGATTGCATTACAACTCGTATCAAGCGTGATTGTTTCTTGGTCTGTAAATCTCCTCTTCTTGGTAAGGATGTATTTCATGAACTTTGCATATTTGGGCATTTGTTCAAGAGCTTCGGAAAATAGAATATTAATTTGTAATTGATGAAACATATCCATGAATTGAGCATAATGCGTAGCACTGTCTTTCTTGGTGGGAGCATGAGGATAAGACATGTTTTGAATTGGAATTGAACTCAACTTCTCTTTTCCTTTCTTGATTTTTTTTCTCTGCATCTTCTTTCCCACGGTTCTCATTTTCAACTAATTTCTCCTTTTCTTTTTTTCAACTACAAGCTCATCATTTTTTTCCTCCACAATCTCATCACTTTTCACATCATCATTTTTCTTGTCATTTTCTTCTCCTCCACCTACCTCTTTTCCACTCCTAGTCACAATGGTTTTGCAATGTTCCTTTGGATTGGTTTGAGTATTAGCTGAAAAGGATGGCCCTGATTGTTGATCGACAAAATGTTTCGCAAGTTGCCTAACTTGGTTTTCAAGATTCTTGATTTATGCCTCATTACTCTTTTGGTTGGCCATTAACCTTTGCATGAATTAATTGAGAGTTTTTTCTAACTTTGAACTTCCAGCTTGAGGTTGTGTAGGTTGATAAGGATTTTCACGGTTTGATGTTCCGACATCTTATCTCTAACCTTGTTGTTGATAACATTGATTACCTATTTGTTGGTAACCTTGGTTGTTTTGATAAGGTTGTCGAGGTTGATACCCTTGGTTTTGATTTCTCGCATAATTTACATCTTCCACAATCGGAGGACAATACCCGGTAGGATGATTTCCTTTACAAAGCTCACAACTCGCCACTTGTTTGTTATTGGTAATCTCTTGCATTTCTTTAATTTGTTGTGGAAGCTTTGACATTTGTTGCGTCAACAAATTCACTTGTTGTGAAAGTAATTTGTTTTGTGCAAGGATCACATCATTTGTTCCCAACTCTATCATTCCCAGTTTTCGTTGAGGTTTACCATGGTTGTGATTTCCTTGGTCATCATTCAATGTCATCCTATCAATGATGGCTACCGCATCTTCCGCACTCTTTTCCATTAATAATCCACCCATGGTAGCGTCTAACAAAGTTTTGTGAACAAATTGGAGCTCATTTCTAAAGATGTGCACTTGTGTTAATTCATCGAAACCGTGGTCTTTGCATTTTCATAACATGGATTTGAAACTCTCCCAAGCTTCATTGAGAGATTCATTTCCTCCTTGAGCGAACACTGAAATTGTCATTTTTGCTTCCGTGAATCGATTGTGTGGAAAAAATTGTTCAAAGAACTTTTCTTCCAACACATTCCAGTGTGTCATCACCAAAGTGGATTGATCAAGATACCATTCCTTTGCGTTCTTGGTTAAGGAATGCGGAAATAATCTCTTGAACAATAATTCTTCTTCAGCTTTCGACACTCCCGTTGCACACGCAATCTCATAGAATTTGGTGAGACGCGTGAACAAATCCTCGTGATCCATACCAGTAAAAGAATTTTGGTATAGAAGTGCAAGAATTCCCGTTTTCATCTCCGAATGCCTACCATTGTGGGCATTGTATGCAAACTGAGCAGTGTGCCTTAGACTGTTGGTACATGGTGTTGAAGCAAGGGGTGGTGGACCTGCCATGTTTGGCGGTGGTGTTGGTGTTGAAGTAGAACTTTTTTCTCTTTCTTGTTTTTTCTTGGTAAGTTGCCTCCTCCGTCTAGTTTCGTTATTCAATTTACGTACAGTTTTCTCAATCTCAGGATCGGAAAAAAGTTGATCTGCAGGTAACTTTCCTCGCATATACATAGTCTGCAAAACTTAACCAAAAAAATTAATAAGCACAAGAAAAAAAACACGAACTAAGGTAAATTTTTTTTTAAAACTTATCAACTATTGCAATGCTTGCAATATCAAACAACAATCCCCGACAACGATAATATTTTGTTGAAACAGTATTAGTGTGGATTTTTGTTATCGTATTCGCATGGATTGGTTGATATTACCGCCGTTCTACAATGGGAATTGTTTTAAACATAGAACATAAAAGATGTTTGTTTTGGTTTCGTAACACAACGATCTCATAAAAAAGTTATAAGTAACGGTAAAAGAGTTTCGGTTTTAAAGCGGTTGTTAAAAACATGTCAAGATAGGGGTCGATAGTCCATTTCGTATGTATCTTCTTAATAAAGCATGTGAACTTATTAACAATAAATATAATCACATATCCTCTCAAGATGTTTCATCTCTAAAACAAATTGTGAGTTTTATCATGATTCTCAGATGATCTCGCAACCTAACTATCAATATGATAACATTAAAGGATTGATATTAGTGAATATCAACTCACAAAACTATCTCTAAACTTTGTTTATTGATAGATGAAAAAGTTAGGTCAAGAGTTGAAACATATCTTTCAATAATGATCCAACTCAAATATAAACCATAAAAGTAAGGTTTTTCACCATATATTCATCATCAACTTGTTCACATACAAAATATCAAGAGAAATACATACAAAAATGAGGATTATCTACCTTAATCTTGACACAAGGAGAGATTTAGCTACCCATAACCATGGTAGTTTGAGAAACAAGTAACAAACAAAGCTTTTGGAGCATAAAATTTGAAAGGATCAAAGACTGAAACTTAAAAGCTTTGATTTCTAAGTGATAATGAAGAAGATGACTTTCTCTCTCCACACAAATGTTTTTAAGTCACAAAAGATTCTATGAAAAGTAAGTTATGTTACAAAAAAATATCAAAAGTGTTAAAATACACATGTTCTGCCCAGGCCTACTAGAATTCCAGTAACTACTAGAATTTGAAACCTCTTTTGCTTCTTGCCTCGCCTAGCCTTCGTCGGACGAATCTTCTCCTTCGCCAGACGAAGGTGCTTTTTTTTCGACGCGCGAATTTCTTTAATTCTTTACTTTTTCTTCCAATTTTTGTTGCACCCTTTTTTACATAAAATTTTGAAAAACTAACAAATATATTAGAACTACCAAATATATATATATATATATATATATATATATATATATATATATATATATATATATATATATATATATATATATATATATATATATATATATATATTGATGTAAAAATCACTTAATAAATAAGTTATTTCACAATCAGAAGCATGAAAAAGAACTTAAAAGTGATCAGAGTCACTTAATATATACATTGATCAGAATCACTTAACATACATTGATTTTAACATATATCACGTCTTGCATGTGATCAGTAGTTATATATGAGAAGCAGTTAGATATTCTCTTGTTTTTCATAGTGGTATAGGAAGTTGTTAGATGACATCTAACTACAAAGGACAATCTTTGGTGTGAACAAATACATGCATGAACGTCGTGAGCATTGTTCCTATAACACCTTATAACTTTAGATTTTAGATTGTTGATTGAATCTTTTCGTTATTGAGTCTTAGGCTGACCATAACTGCTTATAATTTATTTATATTTTTTTCTTTCTAAAATGACATGATAAAAATTAATATTAATCTTATCATTTTAGTCCATGTAATTAATTATTTTAGTGAAAACCTCAAACAACTCAAATCTAAAATTTAATATAAGATTGATTGATTAGATATTAAGATATACTATATACATAGAGCCTGGGATTACAGCACTAACCTCATGTTCGTCGTATCTGCCACAAATTTCAAGACTTCGCGCCAAAATTGAGTAAAAAATGGAAAGCATCATTTTTGTGCTTTCAGTTTATGATTCCTCTTTGTCTTCATGCATATATTCTCCATTACCAAACTCTCTTTACTCTTCATTGTTATTACCAAAAACAAAACATCAAATTTATATTCCTTTTTTCCACACAAACTTTTCTCCTTCAATCACAACACAATCACACAAAAACACCCCTCCGCAAAACATGGGAACTAGTCTTATGTTAATTTCTCCACCACCTCCAACCAAAACTCACCAATTCACACCTTCAACATTTCCTCTTACAAGAACCCAACAAACAATATCACTTCCATCTTCAAGAAAAACTAGTACAAAGATCCATAGCACTAGAAAGTTTGGAAATTTCCTTGACTTAAAACCTGAGTATCAACCTGAAGCCTTAGATTTCGATCTTCCGTGGCATCACTCTTCCGATCGTTCTCAATTCGACGTGGTCATAATTGGGGCTGGCCCGGCGGGTATTCGCCTTGCGGAGCAAGTTTCTTGCTATGGAATCAAGGTTTGTTGTGTTGATCCTAACCCTCTATCTGTTTGGCCTAATAACTATGGTGTGTGGTTGGATGAGTTTGAAGGTCTCGGGCTAGAAGATTGTTTGGATAAAACATGGCCTATGGCTTCTATTTATATTGATGATAATAATACTAAGTATTTGGATCGTTGCTATGGAAGAGTTAGTAGAAGTAAACTTAAGGAGAAATTGGTTAAAGGTTGTGTTTCTAATGGGGTTAGGTTTTATAAGGCAAAAGTATGGGAGATTAAGCATCATGAGTTTGAGTCTATTGTTGTTTGTGATAATGGGAAAGAGTTGAAAGCGAGTCTAGTTGTTGATGCTAGTGGTTTTGGTAGTAGATTTATAGATCGAGATGATCATAAGTTGAGAAAGAGAAACTATGGATGTCAAATTGCTCATGGTGTTTTGGTTGAAGTTGATTATCACCCTTTTGATTTGGATAAAATGGTTTTAATGGATTGGAGAGATTCGCATTTGGGGAATGAGCCTTATTTGAGAGAAGGTAATTCTAAAGTTCCTACTTTTATGTATGCTATGCCATTTAGTTCAAATTTGATTTTTCTCGAAGAAACTTCACTTGTAAGTCGTCCTGTTTTGTCGTACATGGATGTGAAGAGAAGAATGGTTGCAAGGCTAAGACATTTGGGGATCAATGTGAAAAGAGTATTGGAAGATGAAAAGTGTTTGATTCCAATGGGAGGACCTTTACCAAGGATACCTCAAAATGTGATGGCATTCGGTGGAAATTCTGGTGTAGTTCATCCTTCAACCGGATACATGATCGCCAGAACAATGACTCTAGCGCCTATTGTAGCTTTTTCTATTAATGAGTGTCTTGGATCCAATAGAATGATAAGAGGGAGACATCTTTATGCTAATGTTTGGAATAGTATGTGGCCTATTGAGAGAAGATTTGTTAGGGAATGTTATTGTTTTGGAATGGAGACTTTATTGAAGCTTGATTTGAATGGGACTAGAAGCTTTTTCGATGCATTCTTTGACTTGAAACCTTATTATTGGCAAGGGTTTATGTCTTCAAGGTTGAGTTTAAAGGATTTTGCTTTGTTAAGCTTATCACTCTTTGGAAATGCCTCAAATTCTTCCAAGTTTGATATTGTCACAAAGTGTCCTGTTCCATTGGCTAAAATGATGGGTAATATTGCTTTAGAATCTATAGGATGATGGAAGGTTGAAAATACAATTTCTTGTTGTTCGTTGAATTATAAAAATTTCATGATTTAGCAGCTGAAAATTATTGCAGTTGATTTGAATTTGTTACATTCACTGCTTATGCATATTATATGACATTCTTCTTGTTTTGTTTTCACTTTTAATTATAAAACTATCATTTTATTTTGCTTACTTTCAAATATTTATACTGAATATAAGAAGAAATAACACAAAATATGGCAAAGATGAAAGTTTACAGTGTCATAACACAAGCAACCACCTTAACTACAAGTGGCAGGAAAAATAAAAGAGCTACTAACACAATAAATAGAACAAGATCCAACAGTCTAATTGTCTCCATATTGAAATGAGAAATGTTGTTTTGGCATCAAAATTTGGATGTTAATAATGGTTTAGTTGATTTTTATACGTATTTTTTAAATGCGTATAAGTTGTAAAGATAAAGAGTAAGAGTGATAGAGATGAACATAAACAAAGTTACTTACGATGCTTTTATTCTGATGTTCAAATAACACAACTCATAGTCAAATAGACCCGAAAGAAACATTTATTGAACATTAACAATGGCCAACAAACACATAATTTCACAAACATTATTCATCTTATGAAGTCTAAACAAATGTTGCTCATCATTTTAGCCAATGGAAGAGGACACTTTTTGACAACAGCCAACCTTGATGGATTAGAGGCATTTGCAAAGAGTGACATGCTGAACCAAACAATATCATTTAAACTCAAACTTGAAGAGAGGTACCCTTTCAAGTAATAAGGTTTTAGCTCAAAGAATGCATCAAAAAAATCCCTAGTTTCATTCAAGTCAAGCTTCAAGAGAGTCTCCATTCCAAAAGTGTAAAATTCTCTAGCAACTCTGCTCTCAATAGGCCACATGCTATTCCAAACATTAGCATAAAGATCTTTCCCTCTTATCATTCTATTGGAGCCAAGACACTCATTAATAGAAGCAGCTACCATAGGCGCTAGAGCCATTGTTCTAGCCAACATGTATCCGGTGGAAGGATGAACTACACCCGAATTTCCACCAAATGCAATCACATTTTGAGGTATTCTTGGTAGAGGTCCTCCCATTGGAATCAATGCTTTCTCATCTTCCAATACTCTCTTCACATTAATTCCCAAATGCCTTAACCTTGCAACCATTCGCCTTTTCACTTCCATGTGAGACATGGCTGGACGACTAACAAGTGATGTTTCTTCGAGAAAAATCAAATTTGAACTAAATGGCATAGCATGCATAAAAGTTGAAATTGAATTACCATCTCTCAAATGGGAATCTCTCCAATCCATCAAGACCACCTTGTCCAAATCAAAAGGATGAGCATCAACTTCAGCCAAAATTCCGAAACCACTTTGAAAACCGTAGTTTCTCACCTTGTTATCATCATATTCTATAAAATTATTGCCAAAACCACTAGCATCAATAACTAAACTTCCTTTCAGCTCTACCCCATCATCACAAACAACAATAGACTCAATCTCATGATGCTTAATCTCCCATACCTTTGACTTATAAAATCTAACCCCATTAAAAACACAACCTTTAACCAATTTTTCCTTAAGTTTCCTCCTACTAGCCCTTCCATAGCAACGATCCAAATATTTGGTGTTGTTATCATCAATATAAACAGAAGCCATAGGCCATATTTTATCCAAACAGTCTTCTAGTCCCACACCCTCAAACTCATCCAACCACACACCATAGTTATTAGGCCAAACAGATAGAGGGTCAGGATCAACACAGCAAACCTTCATTCCATAAAGAGAAACTTGTTCTGCAAGGCGAATACCTGCAGGGCCAGCGCCAATAACAATCACGTCGAATTGAGAATGATCTGAACGGCTGTGCCATGGAATGTCAAAACCTAAGGCTTCGGGTTGATACTCGGGTTTTAAGTCAAGGAAAGTTTCAAACATTCTGGTGTTGTGGCTCCTGGCTTGGTGTTTTCTTGAAGATGGAATATTGCTTTTGAAGAGAGGGAAAATTGAAGGTATGGATGAGTGGAGGAAAAGTTGATTAGTCTTGATGGAAGGGTTTGGAGAAAATAACTTAAGACAAGTGTTCATTGTTATTTAGAAGAGTTTCTTTTGTGATTCTGATATGAGTGAAAGAATGACAATATATAGTGTAGTAAGCACCGGTGACAAAATGGGTGCAGACATGTCCATTTTCCTTGCATTTTAACCCTCATTTTTCACAAGGTAGGCCAAAGTTTTATGCAAACACTCTCGATTATGTCCGTCCCATTCTATTTTATGGGGCGGACCTAAACGGGAGACATGTTGTTTTGCAAGTATGAAAAGATATTGTTTTTTAAGAACTAGTACTCCATAACTTTAATTTATTTAAATACAGATGTATATAGAACAAAAAAATGACTAGAGGAATTACTACTCTTTTAAAAATAGTTATGGTTGTTTTGGCGCAAGTTTCAAAAATGCATCTGCTGAAATTTTAGCAAACGTTGCAGCAACAGTTAGGTGGATAATGGCAAGTTATTTTTGGCGATATAATGTGAAGAACTGAAGATTAACAATTAGGTGTATAATTCAATTTAATTGGTGGTGCATTTTTGGAAGGAACTCTAGAAACAAAAGAATAGTGTAAAGTATTAAATTGTTGAGTTGTATTTATTTATTTATTTGTTTTTGATAAAATGTTGAGATGTATTTAGTTTATACTGAATTTAACACCACAATTTACATAGATTTAACATAGACTTGATAAAAAGTTGCATGGCCTTCTTTCTTATAGCAAACTCGATTGATTCAAAATTAGATTCTTAGCCATTAGCCAATTTAGACTAACACATTTTTTATCTTATTTTTGCATATGGGCGGCTATTCACAATAAAATAATACAATGATTATACTATCTGCATGCTGTCAAAGCGTGCAAAACAGACAATCACATAGGGCTGAAAGTTTTTCAAGATTAAACCGTGATTAAAAAAGGTCTCACAAAATATTTCTTATAATTTAAATATAAAAACTAGGACTTATATTTGTTTCTCTGTAGTCAAACCATGATATAACATGCATAGGGCCTCTAAAATTTTGTGACAGCCCGAATTATCTATATAGGCATGGTAACAGGGTGGAGCAGGGCAGGTTTAGCTAGCCCCGCACCCGTACCCGCCTCCCTGTTACAGACCCGTCCCCGCCCCTAAATCCAGTCTGGGATGAAAGTTTACCACCTAGATCCGTCTCCGATAGAAGCAGGTTTGCCTGCACCTGCGCCTGCCTCACCCACAAAAAATAATTTCTTTTAAATAGTAATAAAAATTAATAATTTTATTAAAAACTTGACCATTTTAATAATTTTTTCCCCTCGTTTGCGTCTACCACACTTCCATCTCTTTCAGTCATTCAGCGTCTACCCTTTAACCTTTTCCCGTAGTCGAATTACGAGTGCTTTAATTCCTCATTCTCTTCTGAATGAGCATATGTAGGCACAAGAGCCCTAATTCTTGGCGAGCACCCTATCCTAAAACCATCCATTTCCCCTTAGCATCAATCTCTTTTTCTCACACCTTTTCGCATTATTTATTGAGAAGAAAACAAACAAGCTTAAATAACATTCATCACAAATCGAATTAAGAGGTTCCCGTTGAGTACAACGGACGTAGGGGGTGGTAATACCTTCCTCTTACGTAAACGACTCCCAAACCCAGAATGTGGTTGCGACGACCATGTTCTTATCTATTTAAATGTTTTCTCGATATTTTTCTTTCCCTATTTTGGGATGAATAAAGTTTGGTGGTGACTTTTTCGAACCATTTTTCACGCCTTTTGCGCGAGGTTCATATTTTTTGATTTTTCGAGTTGCGACAGGTATGTCTCATACACATCTTTAAAGATGGTATGCCAATAGAAACAAAGTCTAAGACTTTTCTTGTTGTTCATTGAGGCCTGAAGTGTTCCCCTACTTGAGAGGCATGAGAAAAGTGCAAGATAAATTCAATCTAATAGTCGAGGATTCACCTCTTAATAACTTGATCACTGCCAAAGTTTCATAGATATAGATCATCGCACACATAATATTTTGCATCACTCTTGAGTTTGTGAATTTGTGTCCTAGATGCACTTGTAGAATAAAAAACCAGCAACAAGATAATTAACAATATCAACAAACCAAGAAGTTACCCCATGCAACTGTAAAAGTTGTTCATTAGGAAAGTCATCTTGAATGGAGAAGGATCTTCATCCCTCTCTATGTTGCTCAAATGGTCAGCTACTAGATTCTCAACTCAACTTTTTTCCTTAATCTCCACATTAAACTTTTGGAGCAACAACATCCATTGAATTAATCTCGGCTTTGCTTCTAGTTTCTTTAAAAGATACTTCAAATTTGCATGGTCACTAAAAACAACAACCTTGAAACCTAGCAAATATGATCTAAAATTATCAAGAGAAAAAACAATAGCTAAAAGTTCCTTTTCAGTGGTAGTGTAATTAGCCTGTGCAAAATCTAAAGTCCTAGAAGCAAAATAAATAACATGGGCAACATTGTCCACCCTTTGTGCAAGAACCGCTCCCACTGCATAGTTGAATGCATCACACATTATCTCAAAAGGGAGGGTCCAGTCAGGAGGCTGAATGATGTAGGTGGAGGTCAATGCTTTCTTTAAGAAATCAAACGCCTGTTTGCATTTGTTATCAAAGTTGAAAGTGACATCATTCTTCAACAAGTTTGAAAGTGGAAGAGTTATCTTGTTGAAATATTTTATAAAGCGTCTATAAAAACATGTATGACCAAGAAAAGAACGAATCTCGCGAATGCAAGATGGGTAAGGCAATCTAGAAATCACATCAATCTTAGCAGGGTCTACTAAAATTCCTTTTGCAGAAATTATGTAACCCAAAACAATTCCCTACTCAATCATAAAATGGTGTTTTTCATAATTCAAAACAAGGAAAGTTTCAATGTATCTCTCTAAAATCATATTCAAACTTTTTAAGCATGCATCAAATGAAGAACCATAAACAGTAAAAATATCCATTAATACTTCCATGCGATTTTCAATAAATTCAGAAAAATACTAATCATGCATCGCTGGAATGTGTCAGGGGCATTGCAAAGACCAAAAGGCATCCTTCTATAAGAAAGTGTACCAAATGGGTACGTGAAAGTTGTCTTTTCTTGATCCTCTGGTGCAATATCGATCTAAAAATAACTTGAAAAACCATCAAGAAAACAATAGTGTGATTTACCAGCTAGTCGTTCAAGCATCTGATCAATGAATGACAAAGGAAAGTGATCATTTCTAGTAGCCTGGTCCAATCTCCTATAATCAATACAAACCCTCAAGCTATTCTGAACTCTAGTGGAAACAAATTCATTCTTTTTATTTTTTACCACAATGAGTCCAGATTGTTTTGGTACAACCTACACTGAACTTACCCAATTACTGTCCGAGATAGGATGTATGATACCTGCTTGTAACAACGTGGTTACCTCTTTCTTCAAAATATCAAGAATTAAAGGGTTAAGTCGCCTTTGGGGCTGCCTCACTACCTTAGCTCCGTCTTTAAACAAAATCTGGTGCATACATATGGAAAGGCTAATACCAGGAATGTCGGCCAAGGTCCACCCAATCGCCTTATTATGCTTCTTCAAAACCTGCAAAAGGCTTATTTTCTTGATCAAAATCAAGGTTAGAAGAAATTATAACTAGAAGTTTTTCATTCCTCTCTAAAATAAGCATATTTCATATTATCAGGAAGTGGTTTAAGCTCTAAGGAAGGAGGTTGTTCAATAGATGATGAGGTTGGGGCAGCCGTGATGTAAAGAGCTTCATCTGAATAAATAACTTCATCTATAACTTCATCTGCATGTAAAACATTAACTTGCAAGGTAGTATCAATCTCAGCACAAACAGAGCAAATGTTAGTGTCAGTACATGATAATGATGGAAAATTTGACAAGAATTTAAAATAAGTATCGTCAACTAAATCAGAAAGTAACTCAATGTTAAAAACATAATGTTCTTCCATGGGGTGCTTCATAGCATCAAATAGGTTAAATTTAGCAATGATATCACCAAACTCCATGGACATTGTGTCATCATCAACATCAATTTTTTGTTTTTGTTTTCATGAATGGCCTACCTAAAATGATGGGTGCCCTGTTTGACTTGGTTTCTCCTTCCATGTCCAAAATGTAAAATTCAGCAGGAAAAATCAAGTCATTGACTTGAACAAGTACATCTTCAACTACCCCAGTAGGGCGGGCATTGCTCTTGTTTACCAACTGAACAATTAAACCTATATTCTGCAAAGGTCCAAGATCAAGATTGTTAAAATAGAAGTAGGTATAACATTAATAGAAGCTCTTAAATCTAACATACAATTTTCGAATTTACTATCTCCAGTGGTACATGGAATAACAAAAGTTCTTGGATCCTTGCATTTATGTGGCATGACCTGGGTGAGAGCTGAAACATTTTACTCAAGTGTATCCTTAGGTCAGATGAAGGAAGAAATATTTCTTCCCGTATTCACTCTTTCACTCCCTTTCAATTTCCTCTTGTGAGTACACAAGTCCTTAAGAAACTTGGCATATTTTGGATTTTCCTTAATCACATCAAGAAGATGAATGTTTACCACCACCTTTCTGAACACATCCAAAATCTCTCTCTCTTTGTCCTCCCCACCACTCTTCTTATTCTTTAGTACTCTATGTGGGAAATGGATTGCTGGTACACACTCTTTTTCAGCCTCAACAAGAACATAAGGTTTAGGTTCAGGTGTTACCTCAACAGCTTTTTTGTTTTTTCAGAGGCAGGTTCTGCAACTTTTTCGGATCTTAAAGACATTACATTCACATTAGGGCCCTTTGATTTCACCACTATTTGGGAAGGTAGTTGATTTGATCCTTGAGCTTATTGCACGATATTCATTGAAGTGGAAAGTTTTCCAATCTATGTTTGCTAAGTCTGAATGCTAGAATTTGTTTGCAGCTGAAATTGGAGACTATTCACAGTCATTTTCTTGACAAGTTTCTCTAGTGAAGGTTCGGATGTTGGGATGGTTTCTCAAGTTGGGGTGGTATCGGTTAGTGGATA